GGGAAACCCAGGCACAGGCAGGAATAGGATGTTTTGTCCACATCTGTTAGTTGGTTTGGCTGGATCACTTGTGGTTTACAAAGCGCCTAAAAATGGATTGCTAGAATGAGCTAGAGAGCGTGCCGAAGGGGAAGACAGATGAGCTATAGGAGAAAAAGGGGGTGCGGGGGCAGGAGGACATGGGGTGGGGGCGGGGTGAGCATGCCAAAGTGGGCCAAGACCCCCAACCCCCACCCTCCAAGGGTCAATAGGATTCTGTCTACTTAAACTCTGCTGCAGAGTTCACAAGCAAGCAGACGTCTCTGAAGAGGGCGTCTGATGTGGAAGTGTTTGTCTCTTCCAAGATTCAATTAGTGCTGAAATTCAAGCTGGCTCCAAGTTTGTTTTGTGATCTCCATCTAGTCATTCCGGCTTCTGGGGATCATCAGATACACTTATGCTCCACGTTATGCGATGTGCTGACACTGAAATATGGTTTAAACCTGTTTAATTCCTAAAAAATACACAAGGAAACAAATTAGATTTGCTAAGATGATAGTTTTGTAGAAAGATGAATTCTTATTACAGCTTTGCCCTAACTATTTATTTATTCATCCAGGGAATCCCTGAATGCACGCAAATTTAAAAAAAAAAACAAACAAAAAAAACCAAATCGATAGATAAAGTTGTATTAATGCCTGGAAATACTAGTTTTTAATGAATAAACGCATTGCAGAAATTTTCGCATGGTTTTTTTTTTCAGATGCACATCATAACGTATTTAATTAATAGAAAATGTTGTGCAAAGTCTTAAGTGCCCCTCATTTATTATATTTTTTGGGAAAATATTAAACACGTGCAGCACTTCATTTAAACATGCAAACGTAAATGGGAATACATCAGAATTTATTAGGCAAAAACGGAGTTTGTATGAGTGCGAGTGTCAATATTTGGTATGACCACTTTTATCATTCAATAGAGCCTGACAAGCCTTTTTGTGATTTCTTTAAGTAGTCTTCAGCCATAGTTCTCCCAGCTTCCTGAAGGACATTCAAAGCTCTTCTTTGGATGTTGCCTGCCTTTTGTTGTGTTCTCTGTCAAGATGATCCCAGACTGCTTCAGTAATTCAGGCCTCTGGGGAGGTCAGTCCATGGTAAATGGCCTGTATTTATATAGCGCTTTACTAGTCCCTAAGGACCCCAAAGCGCTTTACACATCCAGTCATCCACCCATTCACACACACATTCACACACTGGTGATGGCCCAGTGTGACCACCACCAGTAGGCAACGGCAACGGGTGAAGTGTCTTGCCCAAGGACACAACAGCCGAGACTGTCCAAGCCGGAGCTCAAACCGGCAACCTTCCGATTACAAGGCAAACTCCCAACTCTTGAGCCACGATCGCCACATAACTGATAGGGTTCAGCTGTGTGTTTTTCTAGCCAGGTATGCTTTTACTGCATTGACAGTGTGTTTGGGATCAATGTCATGCTGAAAAAGTAAGCTCTATTGGATGGTGAATGAAAGATATAATGACATTTTTCTACATTTATAATTCCACCAATTTTGACAAGATGTAAAACACCACAGGTTTAAGTGCAGCGCAAACCATGACAGAGCCTCTACCATGTTTTAAAGATCACTGTAAGCAGTCACTATTGTACATCTCTCCTCTCGTCCTCTCTAAATATTGATAATTATTTGAATCAGACTTTTCAAACTTAGGTTCATCGCGCCATGAGACCTGTTACTGCTAATTTTTAGGCTGGTTGATTCCCATTTCCCTTCCTTAAGAACAACCTCTTGACAGCCATTCTGCAGGATTTATTTTCTTATTTCTTCTGGAAATGACTTTTGGATACTGTTCATCTGCTGTAAACAGTTTTGTAGACCTGGTACTTGTTTTATCCTCTACTTATGCAGTTTCCTTAATTTCTTTGAGGTTTATGTTGCGATATGTCAGGTGTTTATTTAGTAGCACCTTGTTGGTGTAAAAATGCTATTTCTGGTATTTTTAACATTTTAATTTTTGGCATTTGCAACAGGATGCTATAATAAAGTGTATGAAGATACAATTTAAAATTGGTTCATCCCTTGAGTTAGATGATGTTTTTATGCTTGAATGATTTATAGGTGAGCGTTAAGTGGCTTAACAAACAGATTTCCGATGGATGGATGGATGGATGGATGGATGGATGGATAGATAGATAGATAGATAGATAGATAGATAGATAGATAGATAGATAGATAGATAGATAGATAGATAGATAGATAGATAGCGGTTTATGTTTAGTAAGGGTTTATGTTTAAGAGGGTTTAAATTATCATGAGACGGGTCAGTAAAGGTGCACCAAAGACATAGAGGATACCTGGCAGGTTGATGCTATCACACCCAAAAGCCTTTTTAATTTTGTCTTTACAGGCTACAAGTTGCAAAGGCACACATGTTTTGTTTTGTTTTTTTTGTTTTTTTTGTTTTGTTAGTCTCTCTCCCGGTTTTAAAATCCAACTATTTTACATCTCAGCTAAATATAAAGGTAAAGCAATCATTTGCTATTCACCATTACTAATCAGTCACAATATCCACTCCCTAAATTGGTCTCCAGGTGGTGCCAGTGGTGAGAGTGACAGCATTCTACACACACACACACACACACACTCACACACACGCAGAGAGAGAGAGAGAGAGAGAGAGAGAGAGAGAGAGAGAGGGAGAGAACCTATTTCCCTGTCTCCATCCACATACTGAAGGGTGGGTATGCCAGAGATTTGTGGGGGATGGGCCTGAAGTAGATACGAAGGAAGTGAATAGACTGAGAAATTGAGAGGGAAGGGGGTGGCATGCAAGGCAAGCACATGCTGAGCAGAACATTGGACTCATTGAGAAAAGCGCTCTCCATTCATGCTCTATCCAGTGCCCTATTCACCAAACTCCCACTCTCCTCGTCATATATGTACAGTATATTGACATGCATGTGCTCTCCGCTGATAACAAAGCCTTTGGAGTCTGAGTCATTTGATATGTGCGTTTGCTGTAAGTTATTTGAGATCTGCCATGACCTAACAAACAGAGAGGTGGAATACACAGAGAAAGCGGCGAAAGGTCCCCTTACAAGCACTTTAAGGTCCCACTGCATTCTCAGAAATCTGTTTTCAATTGGATAGTAGCAGACCCATCAACTCCACATGAGTAGCTCATTTACAGGAGAACCCCCTGTGCGAAAGTGGGCTACTGTTGCCTACTACCTACTGGAAGCCTAGGTTGTTTTATCCGCATTCTCCACACCCATGCAATCAACATCAGATGTTTGTCCATTTCACCGGAGCAACATGAAAGGTCGACATATTTAACTATAAGAATAAAAGAGCCAGCAGTAGCAGTAAGGGAGTTTTATGGCTCTTGCATGCGCTTACTCATGGAACTCCTCTATGGTGGCATATTGTCAGGATGGGATAACGGAGTGGCCTTGAACTCAGATTAACGTTTGCTGAAATACAGCGACAGCTACTGCCTGTTCTCAACAGGTACAACGCAACGCTACAGTGATATCATAGGGAAAATGAGTGAATAACATGAAAGCAATATTTTGTGGGGTTTTTTAATGTGGCTAATATTATTTTTTATCATTAAGATAAAGCCATCAGTAAAATATTAAAAATAATATCCAAATGTTGGAATTTTCTTTTGAAAAAATAAAATACAAATAAACCCCAAATGCTTAATAAAATTAAAAGTCGTTTTTAGTGGGGTGTTTTTTGTCATGGTAAACGGCACAAAACACAGCCCTATACTATATTATTAACCATTAAACATTTAAGATGAAGGAAAAATTAAGACAAAGACATACTTTTATTTAAATTTAAAAATATGGAAATTAGCTAATAAAAAAACTCAGCTCAACAAAGTAAAAGCAGATAACAAGGTGAAATAGCTTGGAAAGACTAAAGAATGGACTCAGTTAAAAAGAAAATATAAAAAGATAAAGAGATTAATAAATTTAAATTTAAATATGATACATCAAAGAGCATATTTAAATTTTAATTTATTAATCTCTTTATTTTAACATAAAATGTTGTCTCAACAGATAGAGGCATTTCTGAAACATAAGAAACTGTACCAGGATCACAGCATCACACCCATGTTTTACATTGTTATTTGCACAGAGGTTTATGCAGGTGAACTATTTACATGCATTACATTGATATTACAAACTTTAAAACACATAGAAGATCAGCGTAGTACTGTACCTAAGATCTAAAACCAGAACTGAATTATTTTATATTATATTCTGCAATACAGAGACAATTTTGTACATTTTTTTTCCACTATATTATGATGATATTAATTTTGATGTTAAACAAACGCATTACTGTTCATTTATTATTCATTTAGTAAATATTTAACTTTTCATTTTAATGCATTACTGGAGTCGTGTTTTACCTGAGTAAAGGATGTAAATCATTCCCGAGCTCAAAGGCAGCTTGTGTTTACATTGGAGAAGGTCATAGTTCATTCACAATTTTATTGTGGAGACTGTGGTATGTGTTGGTTAAGTTAATGTAGTATGAGACAATATAAATACAGTAAGTAGTCATTCTTTCCTTGGTTCCTAAAAGTATATCCCGTCACTTAAAAATATGTTTTTATATTTTGTGATTGAACCTGGAGAATTAAAGGGATCCGTAAGTGGGTAGGGGGTTGGGCTGCTAGTAGTACTGTTGGTGGCCCACTTATATCTCCGCCCTCCAATGTTCCAGCTCCCATGAGGGCGGCTCTTTAAATTGCCCCAAAACTCCTCCTGGCTGGCGCCTTTTTCCTTTATCTGTAGGAGACAAGACGAGCACGTGCGCTATTTATAGGACGTCGCTGGAGTAAACTTCTCATCCTGCTGGTAATTTTTATTATTTTATTATTTAAAAAAATATATATATTTTTAAAAAAGTATATATATTGACCCGCTCTCATTTTAATTCATAACTGTTTTTAAAGCGGCATGAGCTGGGATTTTAAAGGGGCGGGCTGTGTGTTGTCTGACGAATAAAAGCTGTAGCCTATAGATCAGAGCGAGGCTTTTTAACCGGGTACAACCAGCTAGGCTTAAAGGAAACATTTCGTCTTAAATATAGAGCAGAGGTTGCTACCGAGCGATAAAGGTGAGTGCACAAGAAACGGACGTCGAAAGGCAAGCTAAAGTTTGCAAGCTACAACCGCCTAAATGCATTTTTACAGAGAGGGATCTCTGGCGAGAGGACGCTGCATGCTTTAGATGTGAAGCCGTCTTTTGTTGCTCCGGCCCGGGCTCTCGTTCCCGCAAATGAGCTCTGCTTGCATTTTCTATAGCACTCAGAAAAATGGGTGCCGCCATGCAGGCTAGGGCTTTACCCTGCAAATCCAGACGAGCACACACCAGCCATTGTGTGTATGTGCATGTGTGTCGGCGGCGGAGGAGGAGGAGGAGGGGGGATATCTCTTCGTAGCCCCGGCGTGCAGACATGCTGCGAGTGTCATGCGCAGGCCCGATTGTTGGCTACAACAACTACAGCAAACGGGCCTCTAAACATGGTCGTGGAGGCAGGGGAGCGCCGGGTTCAGTAGTATCTTGCAGGTTTGCTCGGCCTCCGATCGCTTACTGAGTCCCGGCTGTACCCTGCAAGCCAGTTTGATCCCAATCCAGTGTTTGTGTGGCACCGTCGGCTGTGTAATGGAGCACGGTTGTGACAGAAATAGACCTGGAAATAAGCGCGGATTAATTGAGTTAAACGCGTTACCGGTGTGTGGGTAGGCCGCCCCCTTTTTTTTTTTTCTTTTTTGTTTGCTGTTGCGGTCACTGAGTTTAATAGCCCGTGTATTTTTCTGTGTGTGAACTCGACGCCTCCCCTTGCTGCAAGAGTGACCGGTGTGATTTATGTCTTTAGGTCTGAAAAGCTACGCAAACATGAGCGACAAGGGGACAGTCTCACCGAAAGAGAAGGAAGCCACAGAGAAGAGAGGGCGTGGAAGACCCCGTAAGCAGCCGCAGGTAAAAACCTCTGACGTAAGTAGTCCCATTCTGTTCTTCTATTTATTGGAGAAAGTGTGCTGTTGTATTTTTTATTATTGTTGTTGTTATTATTATTGCATGCCAGAAATTACAATAAGGATGTATTTAATATTATTAAAAAGATGGGAGCAGATTTTTTTTTAAACCCTTTAACTCAGGTCTGCTGCAGCTGATGCTCAGGTAGATATTATTGCAACTGAGCTTCTCATTCATATCCCTCAATGAAATTAAGACTCCTGAAATGGCTGCAGCATGCCCTTGTGACCATTTGCCCCTTCCTTATCACTGTAAGGGAAGAACAACAAACTTGCCACATGTCTCACTGGTTTGTAAGCAACCTGTAACCTAAAGCCTTTAAACCAGATTTAACCCCCTACGACCCACCTCTGCTCCCCATGTAATGGATGACATGGCAGAGTCAAAGCGCACAGTGGCTCATATACCTGTCACTCAGCCTGCTGTGTTTTTACTATTCAATTGCTCTGTTGCTATGAGCTGCGGTTGTAAACACAGCAGAAATGCAACAGGAGGCGCGTCAGCCATGACGAAGCTTACAACCACACATGAATAAGATAACTCACCTCAACCTGAATGTATCTTGCTTTTTTGCTTATGACGGTAATCCCCTAAGTGCTTACTGTTGCATATTTCCCTTAATGACACATCTGTTATTTGTGAACTTGTTTCTGCTGGACCATGGCAACCTTTTTAGCATTTAATGCACATAAGTTGCACTGTCTTTACCTCAGAGAGCTTTGTTTTGTTTTTTTGTATGTCTATATTTTGATTTGAAAACCTCGATCTTGTAATATAAGCCAGATTTTTAAGAGCTTATGTTCCTAAAATATTGTCCAGATGTTTTATACTAACCTAACTTTGTCTTGATTGTGATTGCCAGGAACCAAGTGGGTCCCCTACTCCAAAGAGGCCCAGAGGACGGCCGAAGGGCAGCAAAAACAAGACAACCGGCAAGGGCAAAGTAAGTCAATGCAGTCTGCAGACGTGTTTTCACATAGTGACAGATAGTGAGTTCAGCAGCAACGAGCGCACATCCTGATCCGGAATAGGTGCAATTCCAAGATGGGCAGTCGGCGTTAGCGTGGCATTTGTTGTAAATTTGTTTCTTGCAAGTGCTTTGTCTTTTTCTCCAAACCCCAGATTCCTTTTGGTTGATGAACATTTTAACGGTAGCTAACCTCCTCCTTGTAAAAGGATGTCCTGCTGTTACTTGAGATATATTTGTTGGCTGTAATCTGGCTGCTTCCCCCTCGTGGTGTCAGAAATAGCTTGGCTAGGCTTCCCCATTGTAAAGACCTTGGTTTACTGCCTCACACTTTCTTTTTCTTTTTTTCTTGTTGGTGATGCTCACCCTCTACTTCCTGTCCTCCAGCTTCCTGCAGCTTGTCATGCAAAGTGTGGTGCAGGTGCAGAGGCCGCAAGACTGTTTCCAAGCTGACACTAAGCACCCCTCCGCCCCCACCCAACACACAGCCCTAGTTCTTCTCTGCCTGTCGTTACCATAGCAACAACTGATTTTTCTCCCCCGCCCCAACCCTCCGGTTCTCCCTGCGCTCAGTCTTCACTGCTATGTATGGGAAAGGCGGAGGGAGAGGAAGTTGCGCATACATGTTTTGATATAGGTTTAGTAGCGAGGGCCGAGCTGCAGAGGGTTTGTGTCTCCGCTCAGTTTCACCAGCTGTCTCTGAGCCTCAGACCAGGTGGCCAGCGAACTGGAGTGCCCTGTGTGCAGTTCCTGTCGGCCTTCCAGATAATAGCCAATGAACCCAATGCCCCCTTTCCATCTGTCTCATTTTAGAGGCCTTACCGCCATCTACAGGCAGCTAGATGCAGAGCTCTAGGAAATATTGTTTACACCATTGCTTTTTGAGCCCCCCCCCCCCCCCCCAAAAAAAAAAAAAAAAAAAAAGAAAACAACCTCAGAAGTTTTAGCAGATCAGCAGGTCAGTGACCTTGAGGATCACAACAAAATGTTAGAGCCCACTTGGAGCTCTCTTGACCTTGTTCCGTTTTCTCTCACAGAAGGCAACGGCAGCCCCATCTGCAGGGGGAAAACGCAGGGGAAGACCTAAGAAGGAGGTAAGATCCCATGGACAAACAAGTGTTCACATCAGTTAAGCTGTTCCTCTCCCAATTGAATTATGCTCGGTATGACTGCCTGCAGGGTGAAATTGCATTTTCCTAATTCTCTTGCCTGCCTTGTTCCTTGGTCTTTTTTTTTTTTTTTTTACTCATTGGCTATTTTGGGGTCTTGTGTTCATTCAGAGTTGCATGGTCAGCCACTCTTTATTGAGTAGTTTTAAAATGGCAAATGTCTTTAAAGGTTTTCTGTTTTGTTTTTTTTTTTAACCAGATGTTGACCGCAGGATATTTACTTTTAGGAGCTTCAAAATGAGTCGCCCAACTACATACAGCCGGTCAAAGCAGCATGTTTTAATCGAGAAGAAACTGCGGTCTTGTAGTAACATTGTGTCATGTGCATGAGTGGTTAGGGCGTACTCGTCTGGATTGCATTAGTCACAGAAAGGAATGACCCACAGTTACCCTCCTAACTAGGCTCCTCATTTTTATGAATGGACATCTTGGGCAGCAGTAAGTGTGAGCAGGAAAGGCAAGAGGGCAAAAAGCAGGATGCCTCATTGTGACTCACCGCTGTGTGTATGAATCATTTTTCACTACAGATGGCTCACTCTTCCCTTGGGTGTTCTTCATGCCACAGTGGTTTATCAGAGATTTATAATAACATTTAGTCTCTTTCTTGTTGGTACTTGGGGGTTATTAAAGTAAAAACAGTCGCGTTGAGGCATGAATCACAGGCAGCTATTGTCGTTGAACACTGATGGTGCTTTAGGCATTTTCCTTGTGGGTGTGGTCAAGGCATAACTTAACAGCCCCCCTTCCTTTTTTTTTCTCCCCTGCAGGAAAAGGAAGAAAAAGCATCCCAGGAATCATCTGAGGAGGAAGAGGAAGAGGACCAGTAATTCACAACGCATGCTACCTCACTCAACATACTGACTTACTGTTAACCAGAACTGGGCTGTATCTCCAATGCCAGTGCCACCACATGACCACTGTTCACGACAAAGCCCCCTTTTGCCAAAGGAGGGTTAACACAGTACATATATCATGCAACAGCACTGGATAGAACGATGGACTTGCTCAAGCATAGATCTAAGAATTACATGAAAGGTAACAGCCCGTTTCTCTACATGTCATGTTATTACAAGTCTTTTATACTGGACAAAAAGGTGTTCTCCAAGGAGCCTGGACATTTCCTCCTTTTTCTTTTTTTTTTTTTTTTTTTTTTTCC